CCTCCAGCCCCCTACACCCCCTCCCTATCTCTGTCACCCCCTCCATCCCCTACACCCCCTCCCTATCTCTGTCACCCCCTCCATCCCCCTCCCTATCTCTGTGACTGTGGAGGTTCATCCCGAATTCGCTGCAGAGGTGGGGGTGGTGAGCATCATCCACACAGTGTGCCCGTTCAGATTTACTGTTCATCTCCCCTGGTCTATAAATCTTGGTTCCATAGGAAGGATCAACATGATCGAGTCACAAAGCTACACAGACCCTTCAGCCCAACTTGTCCATGCTGGCCAGATATCCTAAATTCATCTGGTCCCATTTGCCAGCACTTGGCCCAAATGCATGTCCCCCTCCAGATGCCTTTTAAATGTTGTAACTGTACCAGCCTCCACCACTTCCTGTGGCAGCTCATTCCACACACGCACCACCCTCTGCGTGAAAAAGGTCCCTTTTAAATCTTTCCCCTCTTGACTTAAGCCTATGCCCCTCTAGTTTTGAACTCCACCACCCCTGGGGGAAAGGACTTTGGCTATTCACTCTATCCATGCTCCTCATGATTTTATAAACCTCTATAAGGTCACCCCTCAGCCTCCGACGCTCCGGGGAAAATAGCCCCAGCCTCTCCCTGTAGCTCAAACCCTCCAACATCCTCGTAAATCTTTTCTGACCCTTTCACAATCCTTCCTGTAGCAGAGAGACCAGAATTGAACGCAGTATTCCAAAAGGGGCCCTAACCAACGCCCTGTACAGCCGCAACATGACCCTCCCAACTCCCTATACTCACTGACCAATAAAGTCAAGCGTACCAAACACCTTCTTCACCGCCCTGTCTACCTGCGGCTCCACTTTCAGGGAACTATGAACCTGCCCCCCAAGGTCTCTTTGTTCAGCAACACTCCCCAGGACCTTACTATTTTGTTTGGCTCGATATAATTTAATTTAACTTCATTTAATCTATCATTGTCGCCTGGACGAGATCCAGTGAACAGTATTGTTTTGCATGTTGATGAGCCAAATCATACCTTACATTTTTTGATCTTAGTAAGATAATAGGTCGGCATAAGATCGTGGGCTGAAGGGTGTGTACTGTTCTATAAGTACATCAGTTTGGATAGACTGTGATTTCTTTCCCTGGAGTGTTGGAGACTGAGAGGTGGCCTTATAGATATTTATAAAATTGTGAGGGTTTTTTTTCCTTTATTCATTCACGGGATGAGGGCATCGCTGGCCAGGCAGCATTTATTGCCCCATCCCTAATTGCCCAGAGGGCAGTTAAGAGTCAACCACATTGCTGTGGGTCTGGAGTCACATGTAGGCCAGACCAGGTAAGGATGGCAGTTACCTTTCCTTCAGTGAACCAGATGGGTTTTTCCTGACAATTGACAATGGATTCACGGTCATCATTAGATTCTTAATTCCAGATATTTTATTGAATTCAAATTTCACCATCTGCCGTGGCGGGATTCGAATCTGGGTCCCCAGAACATTGTGTGGGTCTCTGGATTAATACTCCATCAATAATACCACGAGGCCATCACCTCCCCTGATAAGGTAGCTAGCAAACAGCTTTTCCCCAGGGTAGGGGAGTGTAAAATTAGACGGCATAGGTTTAAAGTGAGAGATACAAAAAAGGGTCCTGAGGGCAAGTTGTTTCACACAGAGGGTGGTGAGTGTCTGCAAAGGGCTGCCAGAGGTAGAGGGGAGGGCTGGTACCATTGAGGAAACATTTGGATGGGAGAGGTACGGAGACCACACACAGGCAAACAGGGCTAGTTTAATCATGAAAACTGGGCAGCACGGACACGTTGGGCTGAAGGGCCTGTTTCCATGCTCCCATGACTGTCTGAGGTGCTGGTGTAGGACGGCAGGCAGGGTGGGGGGGGTGGAAAAGGTCAGAAATCACGCGGCCCCGGGTTACGGTCCGACAGGCCTATTTGAAAAGGCACGCTTTCAGAGCGTAGTCCCTCACGTTCATAACAGCCGAGAAGAAGCTGTTCTTCAATCTGTTGGTCCGTGTTTGCGGACTTTTCTACCTTCTGCCTGGCGGAGGGGGGCTGGAAGAGATTATAACCGGGGCACTTTGACGACGTTGCCTGCTTTCCAGAAGCACTGGTCAGCCGCGAGCCGCTCCCAGTATAGTTCCTGCCTCCCCCCAGCTTGACCTGTCCCTGTGTTTCGCAGGTGGTTTTGTCCTGCTGGATGGAGAGACGTTTGAAGTGAAGGGCAACTGGGAGCAAGACGGGCACGCTGCCCCCTTTGGCTACGATTTTTGGTACCAGCCTCAGCACAACGTTATGATTAGCACAGAGTGGGGAGCACCTAACGCTCTGATTGATGGCTTCAAGATCGAAGATGTGCAGGCCGGTAAGGGAGTGAGAACGGGAAATGGTGTTCCTGCTCCATAACAACCTCCTGTTGTTCGATACCCACCAACCACCACCCCCCCATCACTCTCTCCCTCGAGTGGCTATACAACTTCCCACCTTTAATGTATCTCCTCCCCCCACCCCGCGGGAGCCGGTCCCCCGTTCTCCCCCCACCCCACGGGAGCCGGTCCCCCATTCTCGGTCCCCCTCCCCACTCCCCGCGGGAGCCAGTCCCCCATTCTTCTCCCCCCACCCCGCGGGAGCCGGTCCCCCA